GACTATGTTGACTCGAAGTACGTTGTCAAAGTCTCAGCGCTATTGATGATCCTTGAGTTACTTTCAGCGTTCCACCGTTTGATGTTCACTGCCCACTTATATGTAAGCCTCCTACCAGCTGATCGTCATTGAATGGCTTTCACCTCTTCCTTGATTTTAAAATTGATCTAATCACAAGCAATTGATCTAATAACAAAACTAATCTAATCATACCTTCTTGTCGCCAAAATTCGTGGGAGTCACTGGCATCAAACGTCGGTGCATGGACACTGAAAAACCCTCTCATGGGACCTTATGTTACCGAGTCTGGGACTTCTCATATTGACTGCATATACGCATATACGATTGTTTACGATTGTCATTAACCACTCGTCTTTAAACAAGCTTATTCTGCTATCTTATACTAATATACGATTGTTTATACACGCTGAGCGTGTTAATGAAAAAAAAATGAAAATAGGTTTATGAATGAATTAGATTAGATTTTTTTCTGGTTTTGTAGTTGATGGTAATTGTACAATTGTTAACCGAGTTCTAATATTGATATTTATGTGAGGATCGGTATATTGTATGAATTTCGGCAAACTCGATTCACCGAGCTGTGAATTCACATTCACATATGAATTGACTGATAAAAAAGTAACTTTTCAACATTTCCCTAAAACAATGAATGAAGATATGCATGGAAAATTGTGCAAGTGTCATCAAGATCTCATCACTGTTTTCAATTTGATTGGATAATGTTTTTTTGCGAAAAACATTGGAACACAGACGCATGGTGGGAACGGGTGCGGCGGAAAAGTGGACAAGAAACAATGACGATGGCTGTGAGAAACAAAGGCAATATTCGCAATAAATTTAGTGAAACATAACCAGCTTTGTTTTGGCAGCTGAATTCAATCTATATCCATCCGAAAAAATAATACGAATACAAGCTAGGTGATTATCACGGAAACTTATTGGTTTGAAAGCTCTTTAAAAAATAACTTGTAAATATATCATTACAATTTATTTTTTTAAAGACATTACCTGAATTGACGTATCACTCAGTTTCAAAAATGACTTCGGACCAATGACGACCCCCTCTGTTAACGAATTCAGTTATTCGATTTTTGAAGTTCCGTTAACCTCGCTGAAGCATATTGACGGGTATGTTGGCGATGGTTTGGCGTATGTTGTTCTTCAAATGAGGTAGGGTCTTTGGACAGTCATTGTAAACAATGTATTTAAGAAAACCCCATAAAAAATCACACGAAGCCAAATCGGGAGATCAGGTCGGCCAAAAAAATCACCTCTCAAGGGAATGATGCGCTCTGCAAAATGTTGTCTCGGAAGATCTATTGAACATCGCGTTGTGTGGGCCGTGGCTCCATCCTATTGAAACCAGACATCCCTGAAATTCATTTCCGCTAGTTTTGGCAAAATAAGCGTCAATCATATGCGTGTACCGAGCTCCAGTCACCATTCGTTTTCCTCAAAGCGATAAGGGTTAATTTTGCCGGCTTCGGACACCCCGTACACCACACAGTTACGCGTTTACAATTAAAGAAGTACGCTTCCACAGCAAACGCACGCTGCTCACTTGTCCAATACATAATGGCAAATGACTAGGCGGGACACAGAATTTCATGACCTTGCCTTTCATGCCTTCTCCTTATCCTACAACTTCTGGCTGCTTGGCGCGAAATACAAAGCAGGAAGCCTCCGGGAATCATCCTGTATTTACATTTTAACGAAACGGAATAAAACCGTTAAACAAACAGGAACAAAAGTATATCATACTCATTTGGATCGTAAAACAACGGAATGAAATATACGTATAAAATTAAGAGAAGAAAACATAATGATTGCATCATTACTGACCGGAACGGAATCAATGTCCGCCAGAAACAAAAGAGAAAAGAAGCATCTGCGTCATAACGGACCGGAATGTAATCAATATCCGCCAGACGCAGAAGTAAGAAACACTGCGGAGGCCCGGAAACTCCGGAGATGAAAAGTCCGGTGGAAGAAGTCCGTGCTGAGGCCGGGTCATGGCCTTGCTTTCTAGGCCATGTAGGGGTGGAGGTGAGATGCCTATGGCGAGGAGAGGGTAATGGAAGCCTATGGAGGAGAGGGAAATTGAGGCCTATGGAGGAGAGGGAAATGGAGGCCTATGGAGGAGAGGGAAATTGAGGCCTATGGAGGAGAGGGAAATTGAGGCCTATGGAGGAGAGGGAAATTGAGGCCTATCTTTGGACAAGGCAGTTATCATATAACTGGCGGTGCCCGGGACATTGGAAATAGAGTAGAGTACTCAATTTGAATGAAGAAGTTTTGACCTCATGGGCAATTCAAAAATTAAATCAATGGACAAGAATGGCAGCTGTGCCTCTGAGCGCAATCCCAAGGATGCTGACGGCTGACCGAGTATTATTAGATTATGTAGGAAACTTGCGCCATCGTCTTTTCCAATTGAAAAACAAGAATGAATTCTTTGTGGCTAAGGCTTGCATCATATTTATTACATGAATTCCATCGTGGTTCGTTCCAAGTAACATATTAACAAATGTTGATAGGGTGCATACAAGCGGAAAAAGGAAGTTTTATATCGTCTTTTAATTTAATGGGTCAGGATAACGGCCACACTAGAGCAAAAATGCTTTTGCTATTCGGCCAAATTCTCAATAATTCCACTTATTGCAGCAACACTTTTCCGAAATTTCGGCTAAGGCGCGTTTGACTTGAGAGCTGAGGGAGAATTCCAGAAATTTATATTCATTTAATTAAAAAATTTTATCACATATTAGTATAGGGATGTCATATAATATACATTGTACAAAATTAAATTAATTTCATTATACTAATTTAATTTAATTATAATTTAAATTTGAGTCCATGCTGGAAATAACTGAACAGAAACGTGATGAATGAATGGCTGAATAATAAACTGCACGCATGAGTAACCACGTGCCACGAATGAATGCACGAGTGTATGACTGAATGCACCTGAATGGCGCTCGTTATTTTCCAGCAAACTTGAACTTGCCAGACTGGCGAGCAGCCAACAAGCGTTAAAGCTGCAGTGCTGGACCAGCAGATCTATACCGCCGCGTACGGCTGCTGCAGGTGTATATACCGCCGCGTACGGCTGCTGCAGGTGTATATACTGCCGCGTACGGCTGCTGCAGGTGTATATACCGCCGCGTACGGCTGCTGTAGCAAATAACTCCATTGTGAAGTGCTTAAATCTTCTCCTATGTTTGGCTATGGAGATAAATGTTTTTTTTCCCACTTCGTCCCTATTTCTCTTCCTGTATCTCTGTTTAGCTTCTCCCCTGCTTTGTTTTCTTGTTTGATTATTACGAGTATATTTTTCTTTCATTTGATCTTTTTATTATGAATAGTTTTCTCTGGGTCTATTTCTAGTAAATTCCTCATTGGCCGTGGACAGTAGGGTACTGTTTGGGTGCAATTTAAACTAAAGATAATGAGAAACTAAATTAGATGAATTGAACAATCGGAGAACAATATTGAAAGTACACTTAATCGAAGTACAAATCAAAATCGAACGTAGTCTGACACCAGACTATTTGCTGCTTAGAGCTGTAATATATGAAGCAATTCCGTGCAGCATCGCTGCTATCGAGATATCCTCAATTTTATATCTGCTGCTGCCGCTTCGCTGCACAGCTGTCCTGTACAGCCGCTGTGCTGCCGACACCTGTGCTCACTTGGCACAGCTGTGGCAGACTACAAGGGATTCACAGAACGAAACTGGGATAGCTTAAAATATATGTTGCTTGATAGGTGAAATTATTGTATTTTTACGCTGAAATGTGTATGATAGGCAAACGGAGCGAAATTGTGCATCGAGATTGCAAGGTTGCAAAATTAATTTATACAGCAAGGTGGCGAAATTAATACTAATTTTCGTCTAACTAATATCTCTTCCGGAATTATGATTTATATTATGCACCCATACGAAGTTAATTTCAAATCCGGATTCCAGATGTAAACACGTGTTGCATCAAATTAGCTCGTCAATTATTTATCGTAAGAATAATTATTTTCATTACATGAATGATTCTTAAAAATGTATGTAATTTACTGCTATTCATATGTGAACAGGAGCTGAATTTATTTTTGTTTTATGGTTTCCGAAACTTTATGTGACCGCACACCACTAACGTTTAAAGTACACTCTCTGCCGCTTAGAGAATTGAATTACCCGGACGTACCAACAATACTAGGTACATATTAGACGCTAATTGTTATTATTAGCATTCTTTCGATTGACCTAATGCGCTAATAATTAGAATTTTTACTAAGTTTTCCGTTTGAATTTCCCTGCGGGCAGCAGGGCCATGGAATTAGTCGCATGTGGCCTCTGTTGCAAATCGTTGTCTGATTATCTTGTGTTAGACAGTAAGCATTTGCTGCAAGAAAACATACATAAATAAAAATCACCCATAGCCTCTAAATTATTCGCGTATAACGTGGCAGGTGGTGTGCTAGCGATAATACGCTCAAGATAGTGTATCAGTCCCTGCTTAACATATATATAATATCGAACTGCTTGATCTAGATTGGCGAGCTATAAACACATAGATTCTGGGCTTAAACATCTTGCAGAAATGTTGCGGCATTGGTCATTTTGTTCCTTGGTTTGAACTTCGCGAAAATGGAATTGATTAAGCCTTAAAAGTTGAGAGGTGTTGTTAACCCCTTTTTTCATTCTTAAGAATTTGCTGCTATTGATTGGACGGTTTAACGTGGGTAATTCATCCTTTGAAGGTCATAATTATATTTAAAGCATAACAACTTAACAGCTTAAACCGGTAAACAGCTTAACAGTTTAATTGATGAAGAATCAATTAAACTTTGAGAATCCCCTTAGACGACATTTAATATTTTCAATCAAATTCAATGATACGTAATGACTAAGATATTACAAATCAAAACGCAATGGTAACTAAAATATACGTAACTGAGCACTAATCGCCTTTATTATATTTCAGAGGAAAACGTGGCAGTACAGCTGTGGTCAGAAGTGCACGCTCCGACATGTCCCCGGTCCAACCTCCCCGACGTCGTGTCATCTCAGCGGACCAATACGCGACCCACTCCAGACTCCATTCGTGTCCAAGACCTGCACCAGGACGACGATGTTGATAAACAAGGAACAAGGACAGGCATCTTGAAAAACGGGAAGTTCTGGAAGCGTACCGAGTTTAATAAGAGAAATGTTGTACTGAAAGATGATTCGCAAAGAAGGTCTGTGAGGTTCTCCGGTAGGGATGAATGCACGACTTTTGAAAACAGTCATGGTGATGAGAGCGGAGCTTTCGTAAACACATCCCCCCGACTACAGGAACTTAGTATGCTTTTAGGGAAGGATCCATGGCAGCTTGACTTGGGTTCTTCGGCACATGATCACCCCCTGCATTATCACCAGGACTCAGTCGAAGCGTCGAAACTTCAGGGTTTTGATGTGTGTGAGTTGGAAGACGATCACATAGCCGAGTCAGTGAAGCGTTATGAAGAAATTCGCCGTCGGATAGCTGCAGGTGAAGGCCGCAGGAATGTGGATGAAAACGATGATACGGAAGTATTAGAAGATCATCCCCCAGTAGATCCAGCAACCGCAGAATCAAGAATTCGAAGGTTAGAAAACTCCGACGTCGCTCATGGAGCTGGTGGTGTGATGAGAAGTAATAGCGAATTGCGTCGTGCAATTGAACAGAATGCCCTGAGAAGATCGTTAATCAAGTTCTCCGATGCTCGCAAGAAAGATACTAATAAGAACGACAAAAACGAAAAACAGGGCAGCTCTGTCCTTGAAAAATTGAAGTGGCTTACAGCTACAGAAGATTTAACGAATGGTAACTCGGATGATCGTTCGTATTCAGCAAGTGCAGAAGATGATACGATGGATGAACGTCTTGCGAGTTCGACGATGTCGCGGGAAGATGATGATACCACCATCAGAAACCAGCAGCAGGTTGTCGGTGGTGCCATGCAATACCGCCAACTTGCTGAAATATTCAACAAAAGCACGTCAATGAGAAGTGACGCTAAGACGACAAGTGATGTTGCGCGGGAGAGACATTATGAATCGGAGGTCGGGCAGTCTGGCTGTGGTGGAGCTGACTTCGGGTTAGACACGCCAACATTTACAGCCTCCCCTGTTGTTTCTTTTAATGAGTTAACGAGTGACGATGAAAATGACAAACTTCTATATAGCGGGGGCGTCAGGTATACTAGAGAAGGCACTCTAATGCCACCTCGCAGAAAAGAGCTCTATGTCAATAAAATTTTAGGGAAAGTAAGCAAATACACATTGAACGACATAGACGAAGTTCTACATGACGATCGTTCGTCTTCGGTGCCTTCGTCTTCCCAGTCGTCACCGCGACTATCTGGGAGAAGCGATGTGGATGGCACGAGTACCACGGAAAGTGGTTATGGTAGCACTGAGGTTAACGGTGAGCACTTTTCTTCTGCGCCTTCAGATGAGTTGGCTGAGTTTGTGCGACAAGACGCGGCGCGGCTCCAGAGGCTTCGGCTCAGATACCAAGACTCTGATGACCAGGACCACGGTTTCAGCAGCCGACCGGCAGTTAAAGGTATTAAGCCGAGATTTGAGCATCTGGACTCCCTTCAGCTACAAACGTCCACACTTCCTATCAAAGGCACTCAGCACAGTGCAGGAAGTTCGTACGGAACGTGGCAAGGCAGAGAGTTGCAGCGTTCAAACCAATTACCTTCCCTGCGCGAAGATATGCCGTATTCCAATGTTAATCATCATAGTGACCATAGGGACTGCCCAGAAGATGCCCGTGGCCATTTCGACTATTCATACAACACTGACGCGAACATAACGATGCCTACTGGAGTTTGTGTTCACATGCCCCTTAATGCAGAAGTCGATCGATCGCGTGATTCGACTTTAGAAAGACACTATAAACCCGGAGAAACTTTTTTCGTTTCTGGCGACCATAGAAATCCTATGAGTTGCCCCTTGGCCCATGATCCGATGCACCAAATAAATGATCGAAATATACCTTTGCAAAATAGGCACGAGTTGCACCGGACGGTCTCTTCGGGCCAATTTGGTTCGACGCAATCGCTGCAAGCGGCCACATCACGAAACCACCATCCTTCATGTGCGGCCAGAAGACCCATGTCTCTGCATGATCAAATGCTCAGAGACGGACAATCAGATCCGGCAACTAGACCAACTGATTTGCCTGGCAGACCGCATTCTAGCCTCGGACAATACTCTGGTACTCAGTATATGGAAGACCAAATGACCGAGAACAGAACTCATCAACCTCTGAACATTCGAGGGTCGTTCCCCGGGAATCCACCCTCTGTTAACTCACCATTACAATATCCTGAAAATTCGCTACCTCACCGTATCGTTTCTGCAACGCAAGGCAAGCATCCGCATAGTCCTCATGAAATACTGTCGCCGAGTCAATCATCACCAGTGGGCACCGGGGGCATTTCTTTGATGGCGTGTTACCCTAAACTACAGCAGAGATCGGCGTCGGCTGCAACCAACCGTTGTTACTCAAACCAATGGAACACCAATTCCCGTGGGTCATCGTCGGTGCCAAGCCATCTCAGCTACACAACTCCTATTGAGACCGCGTCAATGCCGAAGCAGTTTTCCGACGTACTTTCAAAGGTGGACATATTGCGCGATGAAAGAGGAGTACCTGAAGGAGCGTCATCATCACCACGCAGTTCTTATGATGCGCTGTACACTGGTCAGCTTTCTCCTCCTAGGTGTTCGGGCCAGGTATCTCCCCCTAGATATTCTGGCCATGTATCTCCCTCTAGGAGTTCTGGTCACGTTTCTCCCCCTAGGTACTCGGGCCAGGTATCTCCTCCTAGATATTCTGGTCAGTTATCTCCACCTAGATATTCAGGCCACATTTCAACACCTCGATATTCAGGTCCAGGTTCACCAACACGAGACCACGGCTTGATGGTCCGGCAGTCGGTGCTTCCTGTGGACCTCAGCTCCTGAGACTTGGCATCGCTGGAGCTGCAAAACACTACGGCGACAACGACAATCTCTGTGTAGACCTTCTTTCCGATCTTTTCTCTGGCCATTGATTTTTTTTTTGCAGCATTCGTTATCTTAAAAGTCGAAGAACCGTTTCAGTTTGCTATTTTCTATCTCTTCATATTTTGTACAATTTGTTTGAACGACTCAATAGCATCTAATTTTTTTATCTGCCTATGAGCTTAAAATTATTTGTTAGATTGTGTTTGCAAATATCGAAATGTGTATTTACGTTTTAAACTTTCCATTTTAACAACATTTATTGCGATATACATTTGAGTAAAAGTAGGTGGAGTCGAACAAATTTCACATATTTTTGACTTGTAATGCTTCTTTTTCTCATTGTTTGAAGGCGTTAAATAAAGTAGGATGCTAGTTCGTGAGACGTATAGTTCACTGAGCTCAATCCTCACTCATATCCTTGCCTCTATATATGATCTAGTCGGAATGTACTGAAGTCAACTAGCAGCTCGAGACGAACGTTGCCCGCTTGTAGTATACGCGCTATTACTTCACGTTCAAGCATTGAATTAGGGAATCATCCAAGTATGAAACAAAATTGCTTTTAGAGGCTGATAATCTTACCGTATTTCACTTTTGAACCAAATAATGCTTCTGAATGCGAGCCCTCCAGGGGAAAGGTTTTCCATCGACCGTTTCGCAACAGTCTGTTTACTAGTGTTTCCTTTTTCTCTTTACATAATTTCAATCAAATTATGAAATCCAGTGAACTTGATTGCATTTTACCTGAGGATATAATCAAAATTTCGGAGAAAGTTACGATAATTCATGAGGATATTGCCTGATCTTTTGAGAATTTTTCAATGCTTGAACTGAGAGGTAGCGCACCCATGTTGATTTGTTGGTCTAGAGTATGGAGCTAGCGTCTCCGCTTCAAAATGGACTGGTTCCATGCATTTCTATTCGTTGATCTCCGAAGACTTGAACAATGTACATGTACTGCCCGGCTTAGTGAAAACTCAGGCAAGAAATACCTATATAGAAGGCCAGTAAATTAGTCGGCTTGGGTGGTATATGGATGAACTAGCGTGCGTATCTCGAAACCAAAGACATTTACTCGGAATCGAATTAAATGGATATTGTATACCGGATGGTATATATGTATAAGCACATGATGTCAGTGAATCAACCAAGTGATGTCACGTTTTGGAATCAGCTGATGTTCAGCAAGATAGAATATTGAATTCTTTGAACCTACTGATGGAGTGATCTCAGTTGTGTTTAAATCACTTTTCTGTTGCATCTGGAACTGTTTCCTGAACCTTATTATGAGCTTTACGTTGTAAAAACGGTGATACTCGCGTGATGTCAAAGTCACCTAGTAATCAGCGTTACATCTAGTCATTTCCAAAGGCCCTATATACGGAAGTAGTATATTACTCATCACACAAAGATGAATGCGGATAGGGAAAAGCACATGTGGTTCATTATAACTTCTTTATTGCTCAGCGTCTGAAAGAATAAAAATACGTTAATTTATTTTATTCTAGGTTCTAACTCCACTTAAACTTAAAAATGGGCTATGTAACTTTTGTGGGTTTAAAAAAGAAGGCCTCGACGAAAATGATTTATCACTGGCATTATTTTATTGGCAGTCTTCCGCCTTTGTTGAGAATACTGTGCTGTGTATGTGGTTCTTTTGCAATTAAATTTTTATACTTAATATTTTAATATTAATTACATTACTCTGATGCGTTACCATATTGATTAAGTCAGTGTCCTGAAGATGAATATTTTATTTGGCAAGATATTAAAACTTTGATTGAATTTCAGCCTTGTACAAGCAGACGCTGTTAGTTTTATTTTGTTTCATCGCTGAAATATTACTATGTAATATAAGATAATATGAATGTATAAGATATTATTTCACCGTTCAGACATTCGACAGGAGTTTAGCTCGTGGCATGACTTGCATATTTTGATTTTAATCCTTGAACTTTGTATTTGGTTAATACTTCTTTAACTTAGCGTTACCAATAACATGATAATCAAAAGAGATTCGAATTATTAGCTTGGTGTTGAATCAAAATGCAGCCATTTATCCACCACCTTGTGTGAGTGATCATCTATACTCATTATTATTCAACTGTATGATACCATTGTGATTATAAACTTCTATACTGATTATATCCGTCTGTTGGCACATCATCTCGACAAGTGAATGACCAAATATATAATTTCAAACTACAAATCTACTGGCAATGAGTTACTGTTTAAGTACGGGTATGGGTGTGTTGGAGTGAACACTATATTCTGTTTTCGAATTCATTGATATTTGCAACAACATCGATATTTTTGCTTAAACTAAAGGGCATGTCTTTGTTCTAAACGGGAAGCTGACATACTTCTTTGGGATTTCATGTCTCTTTTCCTAAGAGAAGTGTTAGTGTTGCGAGTACATTTGGCTTTAAATCATGTGTACTGCCGATGGATTTGATACAAAGAGAATGTGTATCTAACTTGTCTAACTGCAACTTGTTAATTCACAGCCATAAATGAATGTGGGACACATAATATGGAGACTTGTAAAATACTCATGACATAACGTATCATTTGCGACTTCCCCGAAGTGATGAGCTTTCATTCTGGTCTGTTATGTAAAATTCTTATAATTGATTGGAGTCAAGAAGTAAAAAGCGCAATTTCTAGGGGATCTTCGTTCTGTACTCGTCTTTTTTTTCTAAAGTGTGTCCTAAATGAGGTAGCCACTTACCCATTCCAGCTCCTGCCCTGCTGAACAAAGTCTGGGGCTGCACTACCAGAAATAGTTACGAGTTCTTAACTCAGTCAGCCAATCACTGACGGTCAATCAAGCTAAAATCGCCAATCACAGGCGAGAAATTGGCCGCTACGTGTACGTTCGATTGTACGGGTCTTTGTTTGTTGTGCCACCTCGAGTCGCTCGCAAAAATGTCCGTCTGCAATATTTCTAATATTTTTAACACAAAAATTTAGCTAAAACGCACATTATTTTAGCTCGAAATTTAGAGAAAATAATGCCGTTTTTAGGTAGATTGACTGTATTTTTAATTTCAATTGAAATATTTTTAACACGCAAATTTTGAGCAATTTTGCGACCTCGAGTAGCTCGCAAAGTTTTCCGTCGGGAATTATTTGCCAGAATTTTGGTGGATTAACTATGTCCATTTAACTGTATCGTTTGCAATAAATTGCTTGGCAGTGTAAAGACTAACCGAGCAAGAAGACCAGAACAATAATGTCCTCATCACCATTGAATAAAAGGGTTACCGTTGAGCAAGGTCCGTGTTGACATTTTTGTTGAATAATTACTGTTTGTTCAGAGTTTATTATTTTATCTACATAATAGATGTATAATATAGGAAGTGTTATCTTGTATTAGACATCAGCCATCCTTTATAGAGTAACTGGTGGACAATATTACCGTGGTAGAGATCATTTACGTAGTTTTTCAGAGTAGTTCTATCGAATATATCTATAGTTTGTGTAGCTGAGTATGAAGTTAGGTTCATGTCATTATATTTTGGCGCGCACTGCAGTACTTGTGGTGTACCATTCATGTGAATAATTAATTCAGACTTGAATACATCACATCACTGTGATGGAATTTACTAGTGTATACATCATACTAGTGTATTTACACATGTATACATCACTGTGATGTATACATCACTGTGATGTATACATCACTGTGATGGGATGAGTCACACTGAGTCATCACAGGAGAAATCAATCATACTGCCCTCAAATTTGAGACACCTGTGGTATCGTATAAAATTGACTCACTGTATTATCTGAGTGATATATGCTCGCGAAGGCCCCACAATGTCCGTTTATTGACTACTATTGGAAGTCCATTTATTGTTTTGTTTTCAAATCACGACTTAATTTTGTACTGAAAAAATTCTTGTCAAGTTTTAATTTCTCGTGATCCGAAAGCGGTCAACATTGATTTATTAACACTTTTTGATAAAATTTTTACTTATCTGGGACAAAAGCCCTTTTGACGGTCGTTGGGCGCGTGAAAAGTGAATTCTTTTGAATTCACTTTTCAAAATTCACATTCAAAATTCACATTTTGAATGTGAAATTGAATGCGTAAAGCAACGCCGCGTGAAATCTGATCCAAGTTCAAATCATGAATCGCTTCGATCATTGAAATTTATGACGTTATTACAATTATATTTTGATTTTATTTGTTTACTATCCTCGATATATATTAGAAAGGAAATGTTAATAAATTGACAGTGGACTGACACGAGTTATTGTTTTCCCGATAAATGAGCGGTGATAAATAGCCCTAGGTGGTCCAGCGTCGCTCTCAATAGCGCATAATTTTATACATCTTAGAACATGTGTATAACTTGGCAATTTGAAGCTCGTCGATCATTCCTTAAATCCGTCTGCATAAAAATATTATTCTCGGAATTTTATTAATATTAAGCGACGATTTTTAAGCCACTTTCCCGAACACCAGCCGCTGTATCAAAGTGCTTCTGTTTATCAGAGACGAACATCATCAAACCTAAGCCACGCTTATTCTTTAGATTAAATCCGCTTATGTTTTGTTTTAGTCTATGATTAGAAGTGGATTTAAGTTCTATTTCATGTATAGTGGCAAGAACTATATAAATTATCTGCAGGCAGTTAAATGAGTGTTGGTTAAGGCTGTCATATATTAGTGAGTTAGTTCTGCCTCTAGCCTTGTTTGCTAGATAACTAACGCCTCTTAATTCAGCATTAATTCATTATTTGTTAGCATGAATGAGAAAGAAGCTTTGCTTGATTTAGCGTTGTTATTTGATCTAAATCAGACCGAAACTTTATTATTAGTAACCGACGAATTGCAGAGAGTTAAGAAATTTGCATTTCTATGTATAAGATCATTCTAAAACTGTGAAAATAAAGCAACGTACATTGGCAGTATATATAAACCAGTTTTTCATGTTTATCTTGATGACGTTAACCACCTTCGTTTGTTTTTGGTAATTATCTAAATATTCCTTTATGAAGAGTTATATTCAATTGAGCGTGTGTATGCAAAGAGCTAAGGTGAATGAATGTTATTGGTAATTAGTACAAACCAAAACAGTATTATTCGTAGATCTATAATTAGATTGTCGTTATTCACACCCACTGGCTGGAGGATAAGGCATCTTATATGACCTTCATACGCAGAAATCCTTGAGTTATAGCCTATAATATATGATCAAATTAATATATGAGTGCTATTAATTCTTATTAAACCTTGTACGAGATAAAGTGTTAAAAGTGTTCGTGTTAGAGTAGCCGCCTTTACAGTTCTCATGGAAGTGCAATTGAGACGTGCAACGACATTGCCTTCATTTTTGGTAGAAAGTTCATCAGAAAACATTTTATCAAAAGTTTCTCAGTCATGAAAGTTGTTAATACAATAAAATGCTCCGTATTCCCTGTGTAAAGGTTGAATATTTTGTAAGTTTTATTAAATGCATCTATGTTTGAAAATCAATGCAAAAATTAAAAATGTAGATTTTTCATTTTTCAGATGTCAAATTCAGATTTTTTCTATAATAACTTTTTGTTCCTTCGCTAGACTTCACTGGACACTCAAGGGGTTTGACACGGCTAAGACTTCGATACTTCAAAACAAGAGTTCAATTCTGCAAAATTTTAATAATTTTTGACTAAGATTGCAACATGGCAAGGGGTCTGGATACGCTATGACAAGGGTTTCGATACTTTATGACCACGTTTTCGTTAGTTAATTAAGATGTTGAAAACAGGAAGGAATTTATCGCAAAAATACATTGGATTTAGCACTTTTTGCGATAAAGATTAGAAAAATACTGACAGATTACATTGCTTCCAATGAGAACTCATGCATTATAAAGATGTTTTATGGAGACTAAAAAATTGTGAACGTTTCTTATTTGAAGTTGAGAATACTCACGGGACACATTTTTGTAAATTTAATTTTAGGTTGCATTTGAAAATAGAGAGATACAATTTCCAAGTAAAAATTTCTTTGGTTGTATGTCGTTTTGAATATGTATACATATATATATTATATCATAATATATACATTATGTATATTTCTTATATTATGCCATGTTGATAAGCATGACGTCAGGTTGATTAATGTTTATTCGAACGTCATACTACTAGAATAAAATATTATTTGAATTTTGGAATCCAACCAAAACTCTAATTTGAAAAATTGAGAGATGCCATGTGAAATTTATTAATAAAAGTTGAGTTTTTGTCACGACCAAAACGTATCCAGTTTTAATTATCACTTCACGCACAGTAGAGATGCAACGCAGACTGAATTCTTACTCATGTCAGTAAATATATTTTACGATGTTGAACTCTCTAAACTGAAGACTGAACATAATTCCATTCTGTTCGAAATTTTGGGTAATTTCTTCCGAGTCTCTTTCTTTTGCGTGGTCTTATGAACGCACTTGAGGAGTTGCGTAGTTCCACCAGCTTCGTCTTTTTACACACAGGGATCAGAATAAACTTTTTTGCCTTCTATTTTCAAAGAAACACGATACCTTTTCTCCTAAGATTGTTAAACCCTTCGTCTCGTTCGCTGCCTTCCATCTAATTGAGTGTTTTGTATATCTTCCTCGAAATGTTAGTGTTATGAAAAGTGGATTATTAAAGTTCTTCAAGTTAATGGAATACCATTCGAACTCCTTGTTGAATGCCCTTGTATACATACTGAGCACCTGCTGCTGAAATTTGATTAATATTAATGGTCGCTTGTATATCTTGTTCAGCATTGTGAACAGAGTTTTGTGTGGTGCATCGTATGATGATATCTTGTATATCTTGTTCAACATTGTGAACATTTTTATGTGCAGCGCATCGTATGATGATCTCTTGAATGTGTTGTTCGGTATGTTGGACAGTCTTCTGCGTGTTATGCACAAAAAAATAGAATTATGAAAGTTATTTATGTATAGTAGAAGAAAAAAATTCGTCGTCAGCAGGGCACGGAATTTCGTTTTGACGATGGCAGTGATCGTTTTGCTATCTCCTTGAATAGTAAATCGTAGTTGACGGTATGAAATGACAATCGTAAAATTTAAAGCATTGTATTTGAATAATCGTGGAAAGGTGAGATTTTCAAAGTTTAGGACAATAGCTAGTCATTTCATTTCAGAGTTTCCGCTCCTATCGACCAAAGATGAAATTCTATCTAACGTAATTTTTCGATGTTTTTAGTTTAGAAACTAGAATGGTAGTCATCCCTCCGAGGACAGCGACTGTTAAAAATACTATAAGCTCGCTATTTAAAATGAGTCGACTGGAACTTCAAACTAAGCATCAATGTCACACACTTCATCAAGATGTCGTACCACAGGCGCATACGACATGAATATAACATAATTGAAATATAATTGAATGTAAATATAATTGGCTTAATCTCGCGAGGTATAAATGAAAATTTACGGCTTGAGCAACCACGCTGTCATGGGTGAACGAGTATTCCTATTTCATTGGTTGAATTTGTGAGCGTATTTTATGAGTCTTGAACGTGATTGATGTAGCATCTCTTCGGATGGTAGACTTCCGTCAAACGATTTTTCATTCCATGATGTACAAAAGTGTATTTCCTTACTCGAAAAATAAATATTATGAATCAATTGAGCTTTTATTTCCAGAATGATGCTAAGAAAACTTGTATGTGGAATTACCGCAGTTATCATACTGCTGTGCTGTTTATCATGTGCTAATCGAATTATTTAAAAATCGCCCCCTTCCTACAAGGAGAAAAGGGGAATCTTTTTTGCGACAGAAGCTGTCATTAGAAAATAATAATAATAGCGTTTTCAGCGTTTNTCTAATCGTCCGGACGAACAATCTATTCTACGCGTCATTATTTAATCAAAAAGCAGAAGCAACCATCATTTAAACTCGCGAAAAAAAAGTCAAGAATATGTCTTAATAATGCTTTGAATGCATATTGATGTCTTGGGATGGCTTCACA